AGTGAATTTCCTGTCAGAGGAAAGCTCTCCGTGGGATCCTCAGCCATTTTGAGACCCAAATCTCTGACAACTGGCGGGAGCCAACTTGCGCCATGCAGACTGCAGGACGGGACGTGTTTCTCTTTGCAGCTTAATATTGCTCTTACCCTCTGGTTATGACTAACATAGCCATGGAAAATCACCATGCTATTAATAGGTAAACCATCTATAAATGGGCCATTTTCCATGGCTATGTTAGTCATAACCAGATGGTACTGGTAAGGTAACTCCTCCATGGAACTGCATCCCCTGGGCGTCCTTTCCAGATGCGCCGCGGAAACAGATCCGTGGTGTGCCGCGGAGGAGCCACCATCGAGTTCCATGTGGCAAGGGAATCCCTGTGCGATTTGCTACGACTCCACATCAAGGCTTGGACCCAGCCCCCTCCAGTGATCAAACATGGCCGGCTGCAAAATCCCCTTAAAATGGAGGTTTTAGTGGGAAAATCAATGAAATTCACCTACAAATAGGTGATGTGCCATTGCCATGTTTGATTACCTCAGGGTGCATGTTAAACACTGAAGAAATTAGAATCTTTTCGAGATGTGCCAAGGTTGTGTGCGCACCAGCCGTTTGCTGTTGTGACATGTTGTGACGTTTTCATCATTTTTTGGGGGGGATGGGGTTGAACTACCAATCCATACTGAGTCAGAGCTACTGCTGGGCCTCCTTTGGAACATGGGATCTCGAGTCGAGTCGCAACGAAGAGTCACCGACTTTCTATGCGGACCTCGATCCAGTTTGGGTAAAGACTCATGCAGATGACTGAGAAAGGTGTGGACCATGAACTTGTGAACCCATCCAATCCATTTCAATCCTACCTTTCATGGTCTAGTGTCTACTTCAGCTGGGTGTGGCTCCTGAAATTTTATGAACAACTCAAATCATTCACCACCCATCAAGGAAAAAAACATCTTGGTGGAAGATTTTCCCCATGAAAACATCCATTTATAGTGGGTTTTTCCAGCCATTGCTGGTTCCATGAAACGTTCCAGGGCTCAACAAACCGCCAGGAGATTGAGATGAAGAGAGACACACGCACCAGTGCCGTGGTGTTTGCATAGTCATGGGGGTACCCCAATGGCTGGATGGTTTATGATGGAAACTCCGAAAATAACATGGATGACTAGGTGTAGCCCCATGGATTGGATCCAAATGCTTGGGCACATACTCTGAGTTTGGGAATGTTTGGGATACAGTTGATACTGCTGGTCGAAAGTTAGAGACACAGACAGTTGTGGTCAGAGGGGCAATGTGTTTGATGGTACTGTAACGAAACCATGTTGCATGCGACTCCAAACATGGGGTAACAATATGGACACACGGTCATTTTCAGTCTTCAACTATCCAATTTTGGCCCCGCGTCAATGTTTGATTCCATTCTATTCTAGAAGTGTGACGAAATTTGGCTTTGCCCGACCGGGTATGCTCCTCTTTCCGACGCACTACATACCTTTTATTGATTTATATTGTTGGTATATTGTTGGTGAATGTTGGTTATATCCACATTGTATCCCATTACATCCCTGTGTTTGGTGAACATCACCGTTTATCTGGGTCACTTATGTGTGGACCTCACTGTTCTCCCTCACTGGAATGGTTAGGATTGGGGTAACTATCCCGAAATAGCCGAACTTTTCAGATTTCAGGTGTGTGAAATATACGAATATATATAATTTGCCCAGATTCATTATTATCCCATATTATCCCATTATCCATGATTCAGAATGATTGATCCATTTATTATGAACCAGGTCAAAAAAAACCTAGATCTATGTACCTAGATCTATATATATATATATACACCTTATTTTATATTGGTGAATGTTGTATCCCCATGTCCCATCCATGTCCCATGACTGTCGCCGCGATGCCGAGGTCTCCGCATCTGTGGCTTTCCGGAGGATTTCACTGGACCAATGCTGAAGGAGTTGCTGGACTGCTGTGGATTTCGAGGTGCACCGGTCGAACCTTTCGAAGGCGGTGTTTCGAAGGCCCCAGATTTTTTCATGGGGAAATTTCTATGGGATTTAATGGGATTTCATGGGAAATTTCTATGAGATGATTGATGAGTTAAGATGATTTTTCATGGGATCTTTCATGGAACTTTAAGATGATATTTGATGTTGGGATTTACTGAAATTTTAAGGTGAACATAAAAAATCCCAGTTAATTGGTTAATATAGGGACTTATACTACCTGTTTTTTTGGGGATGATGATTATGATTCATCATCCATACTAGTAAGTGGCAACCCATCATATACACAAGTCTTGACATAAGTATATGATGGGAGGGTGCTTCCAGTCGCATTGTTTCAACCATAGGAGATGATCCCCTATGATGAACGTCTAGAAACGCTATGAATCGGCAGGTTTTTGGCGCCAGTTCTAGAGAGTTTGGTCGCTTGGATCTTGGACCATGATAGACCCTGATGGATTTTTGATGGATTTTTGGCTCTCCAGGACTTTGTCAATGCAAGGTTGACATTGCTTGAAATTGAAAGCAAACTGAAGGGTTTGTATTACAACTATCAATGGAATGGTTTAAGGGAAAAGCTACAGGGAACCATATATAGATTTTCCATGATTTTCCCATAAAACATGGAGTTTTCCTGCAACATTTCCTTAAACCAATCCATTGAAACTACGTAGTAAAGCCTTATTTCGCGTGTCCAGACACTGAGATTCCAGCGAGGCAATCCAGCTGGTCCAACCAGCTGGTCCATTGCCGTTGGGGATTTCCCGTTGCCATGTTCGATTACAAGAGTATAACATCCATTAAACATCTACTGACATCTAAGGACACCGACCACTCGCATACCTACAGGCGGTTTTTCAGAATTATGCAAACGAATCCTACTCGCAGTTGAAGATGCAAACGAATCCACCTGACGACCACTTGAATTTCATTGATTCCACATTGCCCCATCGCCCGGCTGGCCGTTGAATCCATAGAAATTGGTTGATTTCTTTATTTCGCCCAACGGGTCACCGGTACCGGAGGTTGCTATGACTTTGTCTACGTGCCGATCTTTCTTCCCGGTGCGCGCAGTTATGGCTACGGCTTCGTCCCGTGTCGTCCGACTTCGTCCCGTGATGGATTGGATCTGGCCCTCCAAAGGACACAGAAAAATTTCGACGAGTTTGAACAGATCTCAAAAGGAACCAGCTTAGGATAACCTATTTATATCTATTTATCCAATGGTTAATATCATTATCATATATTATCATTAAATCACTTAGGATAAGCAACCATCTAAACGGATAACCATTATCATTATTCGATGAAAGTAACCATATCCAATGGAAGATAATGATTAAGTGATTTATTACAGTGTGGATAATGGTTCAATGGTTACCTATCTAGAAAAGATTGCTACGATCTGTTTAAATGGATTTATGTGAAAACAATCTTCGGAAATCTTTGGTGAGTAATTATTTTAGATAAGCTTTAACTTTAGATAAGCAATGTTGACACCTTTTTTTTGGGTAACGTAACAACGTTAAGATAACTTCAGAGAATTTCAGATAACTCAAGAGAACTCAAGAGAACTTCAGTTAAGATAAGATAACTTAGGATGACATGAGATAACTTGAAATAGCTTAAGATAACGCAAGAGAAATCAAGACAACCTGTGAACAAACAAGATGCTTTAAGACAACTCAAAATAACTTAATATATCCCAATATAGCTTAAACCAACTTAAGATAACTTATGATAAGTCAATAAAACTTAAGGTAACTCGAGATAACTCATGAGAACTCAAGATAAATTATATAAGATAACTTCAAACAACGATGATTTCAGACAACTTCGCAACACTTCGCAAAACTTCAGATAACCTCAGAGTAACTTCAAATAACTTCAGCCAACTCGAGATAACTCAAGATAACTTCAGATAAATAAGTCCAAATAACTTGAGATAACACAAGATAAGTTGAGATACTTAAAATAACTTGAGACAACTCAAGATAACTCAAGATGACTTCAGAGAACATAAGACAAACTAAGAAAACTTCAGATAGCTCAATATCACTTACGACAAGTTAGGATAGCTCAAGACAACTTAAGATAATTTGCGATAACTTAAGACAACGTCATATCACTTCAAATAACTTGAGGTAACTCAAGAGAACTCAAGAAAACATCAAATAATTCAAGATAATTCAAACAAAACTCAAGATAACTTCAGATAACTTAAGATAGCTTGAGACAACTCAAGATAACTCAAGATGACTTGAGAGAACATAAGACAATCTAAGAAAACTTCAGATAGCTCGATATAACTTACGACAAGTTAGGATAGCTCAAGACAACTTAAGATAATTTACGATACCTTAAGACACCATCATATCACTTCAAATAACTTGAGGTAACTCAAGAGAACTCAAGAAATCATCAAATAATTTAAGATAATTCAAACAACTCAAGATAACTTCAGATAACTTAAGATAGCTTGAGACAACTCAAGATAACTCAAGATGACTTGAGAGAACATAAGACAATCTAAGAAAACTTCAGATAGCTCAATATAACTTACGACAAGTTAGGATAGCTCAAGACAACTGAAGATAATTTGCGATACCTTAAGACAACGTCATATCACTTCAAATAACTTGAGGTAACTCAAGAGAACTCAAGAACACATCAAATATTTCAAGATAATTCAAACTACTGTTGTAGGTTCCCAGATCCTTGATCTTCTCAAACCCCACCACCAAGAAATCGCACCTGCTTGTTGGTCTTTTTCAGGTCGCTATAGCTGCATGTCGGCAGCGGTTGGGCTTGAATCAAAAGCAGCTTCGGTGACAGCCGCAAATGAAAACAGCTGAGTCTGAATTGACATGGAAAATGGGGGTTGGAATGCATGTTATGTACTCTGAACACAGCACTCCCCCTTTGAAGTAGCCGTTAGGCACTTCAACCAAAATACATTCGGCCCAGCTCAAGCTGCTATATTCAAGTACCTTCAAGGCATGCAGTGCAGAGTGCAAAAGTGGAAGCTCTTTCAGCTTCTTCACATGTCACATCAGTATGAAAATCGATCTCTCGGCCGCTGATCAGCACTGCAAATCCATGCCCAGGAATTCTTCCAGTCTGGGCTGCTTCGGCTCGACACTTGGTGCACCATCGATGGAGTCGCGCATGTCCAGTCATTGGCGCAGTGAGATACCGGCAGTCCAACCGATTGTGATACACGGTTCCATGCCGCGTAGTGATCACTTCGAAGGGCAGGAGTGGTAGCGCTGGTTCAGCTTGTGGAGGATTCATAGGTCCCAAAATGGGATGTCCCGGCTGAGCATTGGTGAGCTCATCACGAACTCGATCTTCTTCTCTGAGAATTTGATTCCACTCAGCCTCATAGTTAACCATCGTCGCATCATGTTGACGAAGCATCTCGAGAGCAGCGGCTCGTTCTTCTTGACCTTGAAAAAGTGCCGATGTCTCATGCCCAGGAATCGTTCCAGTCTGGGCATCGCGATCGTTAAACCCAGGAAATGTTCCAGTCTGGGTCATTCGTGAGTCGGATCCAGGAATTATTCCAGTCTGGATCACCTCGGACTCAGGCCCAGGAAATATTCCAGTCTGGGCCACGTTCGCAATATACCCAGGAAGAATTCCAGTCTGGGTAGCTTCTGATTGTAAAACCACATTGATCGCCTGTTCTGGTCGCGGAGCTTCTGATGTTGAGGGCGGATCTTCAGGAATTGGAAGCGGAGCTTGAGGTGGTACTTGATCACCATCATTTGAGTCGGTGGACCGGCTTTCATTTGATGCCGGGAGCGATTCAGATTGATCTCCTTCGGGGATCTCTTCCTCCTTTCGCACAGCGTTCATGGAGAGTCTTCCAAGGTTGGCCAAAACATACTGTCGTACGACGATGACCCCTCGTACTGCTGCATTCCAGATTCGCTGCGCCACCAACGTCAAAATGATGATGCCCAAGGTGTAGGCAATGATGACCTCAAAAGGATAGTTCTCTTCGTGCTCCTTCTCCCCCTCTTCCGCTTTGGCTGCAGCAATTGACGCTGCAAGAGTGATCAGCCTCAAAACTTGGGCTGCTTCCGCGACTTTGGTCTTTTCCTTGGTGGTCAAAAGACCGTCCTGCTTTTCTCCTTCTTTCTTTTCTTCAACTTCCATACTTTTCACTTCATCTTTGATTACCAGTTTTCCCATCCCCATCAACTTTTTGAGGAACTCAAGTCGTGCCGCTGTGAGTGGCTTGGTGCCGATGTCGGCAATCATGAACTCACCAGCCACATGCTGAATGACCCATTCACCCGCAAGGATCGACTGCCTTGCGAAGGAGCACCTCAGCCTCAAATGGCGGGTTCGCCAGTTACCACCATCATTGGACAAGATGGCAAGTGCTGACTGGCTGTCAGTTTTGAGAAGCTTGTGGACCACAGGGAAGAGCTCGGCCAGGATCACGTAGATCGATTCACCAGCTATCATGCCCTCCACGATCTCAGTGAGCTCTGCTTCAGCAGTTGAGAGCGTGATGTAGCTCTGGCGGCCCGACCTCCAGAAAATTGGAGTTGTGCCCAGCAGGACCACAAATGATCCATGGCTCTCCTGTGCATCCGGCGCAAAACCTGCATCAGTGTACACCGTCAAAACGGGGCTTTCACCTTCTTTCACATTGAACATCAATCCTTCATCCGAAGTGGCCATCAGGTAGCCTTTGAGCTGGAGTGCGGCTGCCAAAACAGCATGTGGTGCCCTTGTTGAAGACGAGCCCATGCGGCTTACGGCGTACATGACGTCTGGCCGTGCCCGGGTTGTCAGCCACAAGACTTCGCCAACAGCTTTTTGACAGGAGCGAATCAGCTCAGGTGTGATCTCAGCCTCATTTGGTTCCATGGCTGATTGATCTCTGGTCAAAGGGATCCGTTTTGGCTTGACTTCAGGATCCTTTTGTGTGAGGTCCTTGGTGTAGGACTGCTGCGTCACCATCCAAACATCTCTTTGAAACTCCTCTTTCCATTCTTTTGAAATCTCCATTCCCAGAAATCTGACAGGTTCCGGGCCGACAAACTCTGGTGTTGAAGTGGTCCATGTCGATTGGATCTTGGCCTGCATGGCTTGGAGTAAGTTTGGAGATGATGCCAGCATCAAGTCATCCACGTAAGTCATCAAAAGACCATACAGAGTGGTGTCTTCTGGTTCAAGGGCATTTCGCAGTTTCCACAAGTTGGGTTCGGACTGCAAAGGCTCCAGCATGAACTCCATGTGCTTTCCATTGTGCTCCCCCTGGATTGAGAAGTCAGAGATGGTCTCATCTCTGGTGAGGCCCCACAGTCTTGGAGACCGTCGCAACCCGTAGATCGCTTTTTCAGGCAGGTAGTAGACATCCCTTCTCAGGTACTTCTTCTCGACCAGGAGAGCAGGAGGTTTGATCAGGATTGGATCCTCATCATCGGCCAATACCATCTTGGCGTTGAGGAAGGCTGTGCGCACATCGAGAGTTGAAGCAACCCATTGGTAAAGTGCGCAGCACCAGCATAGAATGCGTAGGGCGGAGGCATCTGCACCTGAACTGAAGTTGTCCTCCTGTTCTTTCTTTGGTTCCAAGTTGCCACAAACAACCCACCTCATCTTTTTCTTCCCTCCTTCTGGCCCTGGCTTTCTGGTAAAGACCAGCTTGGATGGGATGAACTCAATCCCCTTTCCTGACCTTTCAGCCTCCTTCTGCATCTTGTGGAGTTCCTCTGGATAGATTTCTCTGAAGGCCTCCTTTTCTTTGAGCAAGGAGTCAACCTCATTGGTGATGGCCGGGAGCCAATCGCTCCAGTTTTCGGCCACTTCACGTGGTGACACAATTCGTGTCTGCAAGACCTCTTCTTCTTCATTCGTCTCAGCTGCCATCTTCCTCATGTTGGCCAAAATGGCCATCTCATCCATCACTGTTTCAGGATCATCATTGATCATCATTTTCATCTCATCTTCGATGACCCTTATGTAGTTGATCCTCCTTTTCTTTTGATCTTCTCTTTCTTTCTCTTCAACATCATCTTCTTCGATCTTTCTGATCGCTGATTTTCCTCGAAGTCTTCGGCGGACCAAGAGGGCATCCACGGTGTCCTTTTCCAAGGCGAGCCATTGGTGCTCAGAGACGGGGTCTTTGGCCTTCTTCATGACATACCTCGTCACTCGTGGCGGCTCATCCTTCGGAAGGATCCAGTGGCCATGTTCTTCTGTTGCTGGAAAAAGGTATTGAACCGTTTCCGTTGTAGGCTCAAAAACACCCTTTCTCCATGTTCTTCTCCTCACCAAAACCTCTTGCAAAAAAGGTGGCAACTTCGGCTCTTCTCCAATCCTCCAGCTTCTGTTCAGGGCATCAGCATATCGAGCTGCAAGGGGCCAGAGTTCACTGCCAACATCAGCAGCTTTCAGCAATCGCCTCACCTGAGTCTTGAGGGTCTTGATGGCTACTTCAACTCGGCCATTTGCTCTGGGATCATCGCCCGAGGTGCGAGACAACGCTATGCCCCGCGAGTTGGCCCATTTTTTGAACTGGCCGGCAAACTCCCTTCCCCTGTCGCTATGGATGCGACCGATGTGGAAACCATCCATGCGAAGCCTGAGGAGCATGTCCATTGTGGTTCTTGTCACCTCCCTTGCCGTCTTGGTGATCATCGGAGAGGCCAGGCGGAAGATCTTGGTGTCAAAGCCACCTGGTTGAAGTTCTTTTTCTCCATCTTTCGGTTGTGAAGGTGGTAGCAGATATGGCGGCACTGGATGAGGTTTTTGAGAGAGCTCATCCTCTTTCTTTTCCCCATCTTCTTCACCCCAAACTTCTACCTTTCCTCCTTCTTCTTCTTCAGCCTCACTTCGTTCTTCTCTTTTATCTTCTAGGGCTTGGGCCCCTTCTTCTTCTTCAGGGTGAACCTCAAAGTGAGGTTCATCTCCGTCAGCTTGTGGAACATGAGCATCTTGGAGCTTGTTTGACTCGGCTGGCACGGCCCATGTCAGAGTTCCAACCAGCATCCATCGAGCTCGCAAGCCACCCAGGTCCTTGGCAGGAATCAGAGGACCTGCAACATCCAGCGAGAGAACTCCTCCGACTGGATATGGTACTCTTCGATGTGGGTGTTGTTGTTGCATGGTTTGTTGGCAAACCAGGCAGTCTCGCCGATATGGCGTATGGCCGTGTGCTATGTGCTCATCCCAGCTGAGAGGGCACATCTTCAGAGGTTGGCACTTCACATGCAGCATCAAAGACTCGGCCACCATGTTCATTGTGCCCGGAGCCCATCTTGAGAGCTGAGCAGAAGACCTGATGTCCACAGAAGTTGGTCTTCTCGTTCGATGGCTGTCGACGTTGAGGTGTATGTTACCACCCATTGTTGTTGGTTTCAAGGCCGCTCCTCCATGGTGTCCTTGACAGAACGTGGTCTCCTCAAAGTTGAACTCATCTCGCAAGAGCTTCCATTCGTTGGTGTCCCAAAACGACACGCATTGAGGCATGTACTCCTTGGGCGTTGCAGGCTGTTCCAAGAGGAATCCAATTGGTCGTTGAACTTGTTTGGCTTCTCTGATGTATGTGGCCACCATCCAAAGAGAAATGAACCTCCACATCAAGACGTCGTCCTCAAACACCTGCAACCGCTCTTGTTCAGAAAGATCTTTGAGGCCAAATTCTTCACCTCCCCACGCCCTGACTGGTCGCGGAGCATTTTCTTTTGGATAGTGCCTCAAAACTGACCTTGTTCTGCAGTTGGGTCCAGCGATGAAGGCCTCGACCTTATCGCTCATCACAGCGCACAGCAAACCGCTATAGACTCCAGAGTCCATGAGGAGATTGTGATTCTCCCCACGTTTGATGTCCACCTCGAGGATGTCAGCTGGATTCCCACCCTGTTGCTGGTAGGCTCTTGTCAATGTGAACCCTTCAGACTCCCCCGCATAGAGGTGAGCAATGAAGCCATCCCGTTGAAGTCTTCGTCGTTGACGTCGGTTGACAGGGAGATCACGCCAGGATCCAACATCCACCACCAAGCTTTTCTTGATTTCCGCTGATAGTTGTCGAAGGACAGGGTGAGCTTCGACCAGAGCTTGCATCCAAATCTTTTCCTTCTCAAACTTCTTTTCTTCAGGCTTGGACTGGAGTGCTTTCGTCTCCAGCTCATCTATGAGTTCAAGAGCAAGAGCTCTTGGGATTTGAGGGCACCCCTCTTGAGATTGTACTGGTAGAAGTCCACGATCAGGATGATGGATTTGAAGTGTTCCTTGGTTCCAATCAACCCTGCATCCAAGCTTTTGCACCAGCATACCCATGGGGATGATAGGCTCGACATCTTTGCACTCGGAGACCATCACACCACCTGGAGTAACTTGAAGGGCAGTGCTCTCACCGTTGGCAAGGGTCACAGAGACCTTCTTGTAGTCGTTCTTGGATTCACCCAGACGCATTGGACGCAATGGGTGTGTGGCACCTGAGTCAACCAATCCCTGTTGGCTGCCGTAGTTGATCTGGTTGATCTTGAGGCCTTTGAGCTTCATTCGATCCAGTTGTTGTTGAAGACGATCCATCATCTCCTCTTTTGATTCCCCACCAGATTGGCTTTGGGAGGAAGTCGCACTGGAAGTGGTCAAGGACTTCAACATAGTGTTGGCCTGTTCCAGCAGTTCTTTCATGGTTGGACCTTCAGTCCCTTCATCTTCCTTCAACTTTGAGCTTGTTGACGAAGTGTCCTCCCCCTCAACCTTCTGAACCTTTGGCTTCTGCGGTGAGGACTCTCCTCTTTCTTTCGGTCTTGGGCACGCAGGAGACATGTGTTCTGGACTCCCGCAATTCCAACATCTTCTCCTTTCATCTTTTTGGTCATGAGACCATTGACAAGCCTTTCCCCTTCTGCATCCTTGATCAGAAAGGTAGAACTTGCACTTTCCTCTTGTCTCTCCTTCTTCGCTTCTCTTTGTGGGGGACCTTGCATCCTCCTCCAACTTTCGAAGCTTCGCAGCCTTCGGCTTTTCGACTTCATTCTGTTTGGATTTTGTGGCATCCTGCTTGGATGTAGTTGCATTTCCCCCAGGGCGCTTTTCAGAGATCGAGAGCTGCTCATATTCAGCAAGGAGGTGGTATGCGAACTGCTCCACATTGGTGTCGTTGGGAACCGTGTCCACTTGTAAACCACTCCTCACAAGGCTCACACGAAACTGAAGTTCTCGGTGCGCTTCAAGGGTCTTCTTTGACATCTTCAAGAGTCCTCGAAGTTGGAGACTCGGATCAGGAGCTATCGCCCCGATATCTTTAGCTCGGTGTCGCCAGCGGAGCCAACGTCGTAGAGCTGCTGGACCATCTTGGACAGTTGGGATCTCCGGAGGGTCTTCAAGGTTCCGGAGCAAGTTCTGTTTCTCAGAGATTCCGCCAGGGCTGTACGTCACCAGCAAGTGCGTGATGACACCAAAGGTGGTGAGCCTTCTGGCAGCCACCAATTCACCACGAACTTCTTGTGGAAGGGCTTGAAGAAGCATAGTCGCAACCCTTCTTTCCAACCTTTCCCATTTTTGTTGAAGCACTTCTTCAGGTGTCTCAACCTTGTGTTGAATCCTGTCCAGAGGAGACAGGGCCATGTGCACCTTGTACCAGGCTTCAGCTGCTGACACCGATGTCTTCCACCACACGCTCGCAGACGTTGAGAGGTCTGAGATGATGGGCTCGATGATCAACAGCCAGTCTCCAAGGATCAAGGGTCCTTGTTGGGGCTCCCACGGAGCCAGCAAGGGGAGATCTGGAGCTCCAGACCTCACCGTTTCAACTCCTTTGATCACGCCTTCGTCCTTTGGCTCGTTGAGGCGCTTATGCATCTCCTTCATGGAGTCCATCATGAGTGCCATGAACTCCAAAGATCGCTCAGTGAAAGTGGTATTGGCTCCACTTCCATCATCCTTGGGTCTTTGACTTTGGGGGTCTGCAGCCTCCTTTGGTTGAGAGCTCCTCGAATCTTCGGCTTCATGCTTTGGGGGTCTCACAGCCTCCTCAGCTTTGAAACTTCGTGGATCCTGAGCTTCGGTCTTTGGTGGTCTCACAGCCTCCTTAAAGTGGGGGTCTGCAGCCTCCTTTGAGGGTGAGCCTGCAACCTCCTTTGAGTGGGGGTCTACAGCCTCCTTTGAGGGTGAGCCTGCAACCTCCTTTGAGTGGGGGTCTACAGCCTCCTTTGAGGGTGAGCCTGCAACCTCCTTTGAGTGGGGGTCTACAGCCTCCTTTGAGGGTGAGCCTGCAACCTCCTTTGAGTGGGGGTCTACAGCCTCCTTTGAGGGTGAGCCTGCAACCTCCTTTGAGTGGGGGTCTGCAGCCTCCTTTTTGGGGGGGTGGAAAACTTCTGATCTACATCTACTCGCATGCTTTCCAACGTTTCGATTCTAGCCCTCAATTTTTGATTTTCTTCCATGATTCTTTCCAATTCCCTTCTAAGTTCAGCATGTTCAGAGGGACCAGGTTGAGGCATGTATGGAAACAGGTATGAAGCTTGATCCCCAACCATCCCAACTCCATGGACTCTACGCTCATCTTGCTCCAAAAACAAAGGTCTTGTTATCGGTTGTGGCACCATTGCGGGTGGTCCCAACAGCTGATTCCCTGGATAGAGCCAAGGTGCTTGGTTGTAGATTTCCTGGAATCTTCGAATCTGGCTTTCATCAAAAAGAGGAACTGAAGAAACATTGGATTGGGCAGCAGGTGTGGCTTCCACAGAAACAACTTGATGCGCTCGCCCAGAATCATTTTCCGCATACTGAAGCCCATTTGACATGCCCTGCACATTCGATACCACCATTGCCGCAGAGGTCTCAGGAGTCTTGACAACTTCGGTGGATGCCAAAACAACCGCTTGATTTGAACCTGGGGCAGACTGAGGGTTCTGCTGCAGTTCGGAACGTTCTGATGGCGATACCTGAGTTTTCCTTGGTGTGGCAGGAACTGACTTCGCTGAACCTGACGACTTCGCAGCTGACTCCTGTAATGCCTTTTCTGCACCAGGAGGAAAGAAAGATTTCGGGGCACTTTTTGGCTTCTCCTCACTTCCCAGACTTTTATCCTTTGGATTTCCGGGGGACTCAAAAACCTCTGCCTCAGACCTTTCCTTGTCCTCTAACTGCGGCTCAGCTCCACTGGCCAGCTCTGCCTCCATACGTTGGTTAGCTCGTCGGATTTCATCTTCTCCTTGAGCTAGTTCTTCCGGTGTAGCCCTTCTTCGCTGCATCATCATCTGGAGCAACTGTGGCACGTTGGGCTCATAACCTACTGTTGTAGGTTCCCAGATCCTTGATCTTCTCAAACCCCACCACCAAGAAATCGCACCTGCTTGTTGGTCGTTTTCAGGTCGCTATAGCTGCATGTCGGCAGCGGTTGGGCTTGAATCAAAAGCAGCTTCGGTGACAGCCGCAAATGAAAACAGCTGAGTCTGAATTGACATGGAAAATGGGGGTTGGAATGCATGTTATGTACTCTGAACACAGCACAAACAAAACTCAAGATAACTTCAGATAACTTAAGATAGCTTGAGACAACTCAAGATAACTCAAGATGACTTGAGAGAACATAAGACAATCTAAGAAAACTTCAGATAGCTCAATAATATAACTTACGACAAGTTAGGATAGCTCAAGACAACTTAAGATAATTTACGATACCTTAAGGCAACGTCATATCACTTCAAATAACTTGAGGTAACTCAAGAGAACTCAAGAAATCATCAAATAATTTAAGATAATTCAAACACAACTCAAGATAACTTCAGATAACTTAAGATAGCTTGAGACAACTCAAGATAACTCGAGATGACTTGAGAGAACATAAGACAATCTAAGAAAACTTCAGATAGCTCAATATAACTTACGACAAGTTAGGATAGCTCAAGACAACTTAAGATAATTTACGGTACCTTAAGACACCATCATATCACTTCAAATAACTTGAGGTAACTCAAGAGAACTCAAGAAAGCATCAGGTAATTTAAGATAATTCAAACAAAACTCAAGATAACTTCAGATAACTTAAGATAGCTTGAGACAACTCAAGATAACTCAAGATGACTTGAGATAACATAAGACAATCTAAGAAAACTTCAGATAGCTCAATATAACTTACGACAAGTTAGGATAGCTCAAGACAACTTAAGATAATTTACGATACCTTAAGACACCATCATATCACTTCAAATAACTTGAGGTAACTCAAGAGAACTCAAGAAAACATCACGTAATTTAAGATAATTCAAACAAAACTCAAGATAACTTCAGATAACTTAAGATAGCAATTAGCATCGCCCATGTTGCCCTTAAACATCCACGTTCTGAGGTGAACTGCACCTCAAGGGCCGCGGTGGAGGCGATGTGGCATTTATTTCATGGCAAGACCGCCGCTCGGATGGCCATGGCCATGGCCATGGGAAAATCATCGATTTCTGGGCACTTTGTTGGGGAAAATCCATGGGAACATGGTGTTTTTTTTGGAAAATCCATGCGAATTCTTGAGACTATTTGGGATCGGCCAACTTGATTTATAGATCTATGGAAACCGGGAAATCTATGGAAATCTGAGATATTTTGAGAGGAAATACGAACGCACATGAATACAAGCTCAAGAGATGTCATTCAAATTTCGGGATGGTTCCGGTTGCAACATGAACGGGATGCAGATGGATGCAGAATCTTAAGTGGTTAGGAAATCTGGCTGCAGTTCAGCTTTACACATGACATGGATATATGCATGGATCATACCTTGTTGACCCCCTGTGAGGGGACTTAGTAGCCATGCTTACTCACCAGATACTAAATGGGAAATGGCATGTATATGCATGTATCATCATGTATCAATACCTTCCTGCTTTGCCTTCTGGGATTCTACCAGAGTTAAGGGAGAATTACATTTTTTAAAGAAGTACATCCATGATTTTTCCATGATTTTCCATGGATTTTCCATCACCAAATGGGCAATTTTCCATGGTTTTTCTTCAAATTGCCTCAGGGCAAGTGGCATGTTATGTTCAGGTTTCGTCCTGATAGAAGCTGCAGATACAGCACATGTCAGCACACTTCACATGTTGAGCTGGCTGAAACGTAATATTCCTTCTATGCATGTACATAGATACATATAATGGTATAGGTATATAACGGTATATATGTATGTACACATAGAGAATATACATAAAAACATATGTAGTCCTATTTATGTATAATATATATATATATAACATACACGTAGTTCACATGTACACATTTGGAGAGTGAGTGTGTATGTGTCCTATTCCAATCATTTTTGTTTGTGTTAAGGTTTCAGTATAAAAGGGTAGCTATGCCCAGTCAATACTGTCTGACCTAGTTGTTTGCAAAGGGATTTCCCAATGAGGTGCCCCATTATTCTTCTTGATAGTAAGCTCCTCTATTTTGTTTTGTTGGTGAAATCGGATGTTTTCCCCACCTGCCAGGTGAGGGTCTCTAGATTTAGCAAGGCGGTAGCTCGCCGGGACGGGCACGGAATCGAGCCATGTGGCGAGCTCCGCAGTGGAGGGCGCCTGGAGCCAGAGAGAATGCCAGACAGAATGGCAAACAGAATGTCAGAATATATGGGGATTGGTCAAAACCCTGGTACCTAGTGAACCCCAAAATAGCTGGTAAATGGATGTTCATCCCACTAAAAATGGTATTAATAGGTATTGACCCATACCCATATGCTAGAATGAATGCCTGAAAAGATGCCAAATAGAATTCCAGATAGAATGTCAGATGGTATGTGAAACTATGTCAGAATAGTGTGTCAGGGTGGGGATCACTGGAAGAAAGTAATCTTTTGACTGGCCACTGGAAAAAGAGCCTTTAATATCTTTAATCAATCTGAGTGCCTTGCTTTACAGTGGACAGTTTTGAAAGCATGTCAGAAAACATGTCGGAAAAAATGCCAGAACATGTGTCAGATAGAATGCCAGGTAGAATGTCAGAAAAGATGTCAGATGAAATCAAACAAAACCAAATAGAATGTCAATTGGTGGGCATCACTCCAAGGAAGTACATTTAGATGCAGATTGATTGATCCATCCTGGTTGGTAAGAAGTGTGTTTCACAAGGAAAAATCAAAGCCTACAAAATGGCTAAAGACATCTCGCCCAAAAAAACGTCATGGCAAACCAATAAGCATCGAAAAGGGTGAAAAGGCTGAGTGCAGAGGCTGGATGAGATGGCACTACAATGTGACTACAAAGTGCTTTGGGTTGGTGGTTTCAAACATGAATTGTATTTTCCATTTCATATATGGGATCAAACATCTATCAGAATCTATCAACATCTATATACATGACTATCTGGTTGGTGGTTTCAAACATGAATTTCATTTTCCATTTCATAAAAAAGGGATGTCATCCTAACCCCATTGACTTTCACTCCATCATTTTTCAAGGGCACATTGCACCACCAAGCAGAATTTGGTGAAGGCCTTGCCATTTCCAGAAGCGTTCCATTTTGGTAAGTTTCAGCCATAGCCTAACAGTTTAGATGATTTTTTATGTACAAAATGGGTCCTTGAGTCCAACCACTCATTGAACGGAATATTATATATATGTATTTATACATAGAGTTTTTTTTGTTCATATCATGATATATCATGATATATCTACTCATGACATACGATATAGTATCTATATATCTACCATAGCCAGCTACAATTCAGATGCACCCTTAGAGGCATGGACGGAGAATGCCTCGATGTCGCTAAAGGTGCAATGGTCCACAAATACTCAAGGTGGGAATGCCGTACCCTCTGGTGAACTAACATTTTGCCATGGAAAGATCCACCATTTTATAGCTGGGAAAATCCACTATTTCGACTGGGCCATTTTCCATTGCTATGTTAGTTCACCAGAGGGCAGGTTCCATGGCAAGCTATGGAAAAAACACATGTCATTTTTACGGGGCTTAGAGACGTGAACATCACACAAATATCAACCAAGGATAAGGCCAAAATTATGGTTCCATTGATTGGGGGGGGGTAGCAGTAAATCTGATAATTGAATCAAAAACCAATTTTAGTGCTAAACAAATACTAAGTTCTGGTTCCATGTAGTGCTATAGTAAAGTGATAATTGTACCACTAAAATTTAAAGTGGTACCACCCAATCAAAAAAACACCAAGGGGTTACTCTGGGGTTGGCATTGGCCGAGGTTGTATGGATGGAGGCTTTATAAACTCATCGACAAATATGGAATAATAATGAATAATATATAATATATATATATATTATACATATATAATATAATATATATATATACTGTATACATGGGAATATCACCAAAAATATGGGTTATGTAGGTTTCTGTCGCTGGGAATTTATCATCGAACTATTGCCGGGTGTTGTTCAATCGCAAGCCATGGATGCTTCAACCTTTGAGGTATTTGATATGCAATGTAATTGCAATGTAATCCCTTCCCCCTACATGAAATACCATCCAAATGAAGCTAAAAGGTTTACTGGATCAAATTGGATCTGTTCATGAATGGGGAACCATATCCGGGGCTGGGAGAATATATCAACATATTGAAACATGAGGAACAGCATGAGTCAAACATGACCACTGCCGGGCAGGATTGCAAAGTTTGGTCGAGAAGTACCGAAACTGTGACTTGACGCATGTAAAACTGATTGGGAGATGAATTTTCTATAAAGACAAATGCAGTGTTCACTTAGACTTTGTAATAAATGTGACTACATGTGTTTCTATACATGCATGCATGCATGCAGACAGACAGACAGACGGACATACATACATACCTATGTATATATATATATATATACACATGATTGAAACCTGATAGGGGTGCCAAATTTAAACTTGCAAGAAATGTGCAAAATGGTTTCTCATTGTTTTTTTCGAGGCTTGGGGCACGTTTCTAGCACATTAGACCTACAAGTATCTGTCCATGGTTCAACATTTGCGACTTTGGGACCCGCAGATGTCGTTTTTGTTTTTTTTTCAATTGATGACTTCGAACTTTGAGGGTATTTGTTGGCTCACCCCAGTCGGTTCCAAATCCAGTTATTAGTAGGGTAAGTGGGATTAATCCAGTTATAGCTGGGGTAACCCACGTACGAACCGGGCTGAACTATTGAATACTGCACCCTGTTTTGACCCACACATGTGGTTTGTTGGGCCTGGCCTCATGGTTGTGTGATGACTGTGGCCTCAGATAGTCCCATGTTGTTGGGAAATTGGAAAA